TATCGGGACATCCTATATCCACTCGGTAGTACGCAGACGCCCGACAGTGACAACTTTCCAATACAGAGCATTGGTGTAACCCGAAGTTACAGGTTAATCTAAGCCCCAACTTAATGAAGATCCATTACCATAACACAAGCCTATTTTTTAAACTTTCGTTGTCCATGGGATTTGAACCCTAGATCTGCTACTTGGAGAGGGTGACGACTTGACCACTTCACTAAGCCACCACACCTCCTATTTCAAGATTTATATTGAACAATATAACAATAATGGCAACTAATATATTAAAAGCTCATAAGTTTGATGAAGAATTAGAAAGAATTAATGTGCAACTTATTAAACAGAATATTAGTAGCAAGCAATTAACAAATGAAGAATTAAAGTTAGAAATATCTTCTGTACAAGCAAAAAAAGAACAATTAGAGTTGCTAATCTCTGAGTATATTGATGATAAAAAAAAAAAAAAGAACGATAATCAGCTTAAAATTAGTCACCCGATTTGTATATTCTGTCATCTTCCTCCTGTAAAATTTTATTATTTTATTATTATTATTTCTTTTTTTTTCTTTTATCATTGTATATAAATATATATGTTAGTTTACTTAGCTTAGTTATAACCAGGTGTAGTGTTGGAAATTATATATGTTTATGGTGTTCACAGTGAAAATAAATTTTTTAAAAAAATCAATTTTTTTTATTTTATATTCACATTTATAAACATGAAGAATTTTTATCTAACTAGTAAACTGGCACGTCTTTTTGTCTATGCCTAATAAATGGCAATCAATCGATCAATTTAATCAGTTGGTTGCCGAGATACCTTCGATCTAAGTTTTGAAACAATTTCAATGCAGTTTTATATGACATACGTTTTAAAACTTTTTCGAAGATATCTTGGCAATCAATTGATCAAATTCGATAAAATTTTTTTATTCGAATTCTACAGAACTATTGAATTCGAATAAAAAAAAAATTCATCAGATTTGATCGATTGGTTGCCAAGATATCTTCGATCAAAGGTTTGTAAACAATTTCAACGCAGTTTTTATGTAGCATATGTTTTAAAAACCTTTCACAAACTTTGATCGAAGATATCTCAGCAACCAATCAATCAAATTTGATAAAATTTTTTATTCGAATTCAATTGGTTGCTGAGATATCTTCGATCAAAGGTTTGTAAACAATTTCAGCGCAGTTTTTGTAACATATCTTAAAAACTTTTTCAAACCTTGATGAAGATATCTTGGCAATGAATCAATCAAATTTGATGAATTTTTTTTTATTCAAATTTTACAGAATTGTAGAATTCGAATAAAAAAATTTTTATTAAATTTGATTAATTGGTTGCCAAGATATTTTTTAGTACGTAAAACCAAATCAAACGCGTAGTTGTTTATAACACATGACTGATCTTAGATAAATCTAACAAATCAAATCGTTTAAAACGCACAGACGGACAGACATTAAAATTTTAGTTGTATAGATAGATTAATAAAACTTTATTTGTGATCATTATATTTTTTTAATGTGAACATAAAAAAAAAGAATGTTCACAAAAATCATCATATTGTCTTTGAATTTTCAACACTGACCGGGTGGCCTGTTTACCTGGATTCGTTGGTTTAACGGATTTATTTGAGAGTAGCAAAAGTGAAGGTTTTTCGCACTGAAAAGAGAACTCAGTTGAGTTAAACACTTCGAAAACATAACAAGTAGAAGTAGTAACTCTAAGCAGTTTATACTTATATTTGCGTCTCCAATAAAACGGTTGTAAAAAGTCTTAAAAAAAATGGTAACGGTAACGGTAAGCTATATTTTTTTGTAACATTGTTGATGGTTGTCTCTTCAATTCGATTCTTTAAAGACTAGTCATCCTACGAATTATAACCTTCCACATAGTTACATGTGAAGTAAAGGCCTACACTTTTACCAAAATGCAGTAATAATGAATTTTTTGCTCGAAGAGAAAAAAAGGGTTGTAACTCATATCATAACGATAAGTGCGATAAAAATTTATACGTAGGAGTACAGAACCTACCCCTGCAGCGTGACATATCCCCTGATCGTTAACCGAACCGACAAACTGAATAGTACTGTTAGTTAACCAGTTAAGCAACCGGTTAAGCAACTGGTTGGTCAAGAGCCGATTGATAACTGAATAATACCTCTTACTAACCATAAAATTTATTTTTTTTGTATTCATTTGTATTTATTACTATAATACCGGATCTGATTATAAATTTTGTTAGTATTCATTAGAATATTTTGAATTTGAATCACTTTTAACAAAAAATTTATTTATTTTAAAAAAAATCTTTAAAAAACATTTCATAAAATTGCTATATAAAATGACTATTTTAAAGCAACAAAAAAACTGTTCATATAATATAAACCTGTGTATATCGAATAGAACATTAAACAATTAATTTTTTATTAATTGTTAATAATCGTTAAAAGAACGGTTAAATGTGGTAATCAAAAAATTATCACGGTTTAACAATATTATATTGCAGATCATAGAACATATTTGGTGACCGATAAATCCTTAACATATGTTTGTCATAATCATATGCTCTACGTTAAAAAAAAAAAAAAAAAGGTTTTATTATTATCAATAAAAATAATTAAGATATTTCGTAATATAATAAAATTATTAATATATTTTCAAATATTATAAATCTTTTATGCAATATGTTCGAAAACAATCACTAAGTCATTTGAAAGTCATTAAAAAAGATCATGTACGTACGACAATTTGGTAATTTACCAACGCTGTATGTATGTACAGCCCTCATATCATTATCATCCAAAAATGGAATGGTATTATACGTAGTCGACTTTATTCCAAATTATGCATCAATCAATTTTATGACAGAAGACAAAGATTTTTTTATATTAACTATATATATATTATACTTTTTTAAGATTGCTAAATGAAAGTCGGAACATTTGCTGGCATGTGCTTATTGGTTCGTATTACTCTGCAACCATGGGCATGTTAAATTTTTGTTTGTTACCCAAAGACGTTACAATTTCACAAATAAATATGGATATCAAGGAAACGGGCGGATTGATCTGATTAGATTTTAAAGGATAAGAAGAAAAAAAAAAATCAAAAGTTGTTAAGTGGAATTTATAACAGATACGTAGTAAAAACGAATATTACAGTACGTAATATATATTTTACTTATAATAAATTATTAAAAAGTATAATATCAAATATATATAAGTTATATGATGTTTTATAAAAAAAATTATATATTTTTAATTATAAACTTATATTTAAATTATTTTTATTAACTAAACCAAATATATTTTTACTAACTAAACCAAATATATTTCGTTTTTCATCAATGAATTATTATTATTAAGCAAATTTTTAATATTTGTAAAAAGATTTTTTGTTTAACAGCAATTGAGCTTGATTTTGATATAATAATGATAGAGATTTACATTATTTATATTACGTCTTTTTTTTGACTGGTTCTTTTTTAAGTAAAATCGAAAATCCGATAAATGATCATTGTTTAAAAAAGTAGAATCTAATGTTAAATTATGTCAGATGACGTTAGTATGAAATACTGTGAGCCCACTTGCTTGGAAATCGTAATTGACATGTGAAAATCTACAACGAGATAACGAAATGTTTTCAATAAAATTTGATTAAGTTAAAATAAAACAATTACACAATTTTTTAGTAAAATATATTACGGAAATTTTAAAGATAGTTGAATATTTTTGTCTAGGCTGTAAATAGGTTAGATTACACTACATATCTATATGACATTATATTTAAGGAGGAATTAACTGTATCAGTATTCTAATTGGATATTGAAATTATGATTTTACTGCATTTATTTTATCATCATCGTTTAGAACTGGTTAATTTAATCAATTTAAAATCTTTCTAATAAGTTTAAGATAAAATTTAAGACAATCAATTATTTGAGCTTTTCCTTCTAAACTTTATAACTTTAAAATTAATACCTCATCGTTATTGTCTAACAAATATATCATTTCATTAATAATTGTGTAATATCATTCGTTGATGATTCATAATATATACAGATATATATACTTACTGTATATGTATACGAGTTTATATATATATCCATATGCATATGAATTTTTGATTTATAGTCAAAACTTAAATGCATGCAAACATTTTCTATGTACATATGCCACAATACCGAAGCTAGAATTAATATAGAATATATAGAATCACCTTTCTTGGAAATCGATAATCATTAAACCTTATACGTATATATATACTGTTATATAATAAGAATTATATATATATTTTAAGTTAATACTGTATACGTATATAGAACTTAACGTTAATAAATTTAATACGTACTGTATATCAATAATAAATTTAATAATAAAATTATATATATATATATAATTACAGTACACCAGGGTTCCAAATAAGCAATCTCATTTAAACTTTTTGTTGAAAATAGATATTTGTTTTGATTATTACAGTCATCTCTAAAGATTATCCCAAATAATCATCTGATCTCCACGTTTACTTCATCAACATGTCAAGTGGCCTATAATAATCTAAAGTTTATATATATTTGTTGATATGATCTTAGTAATAAAATTTATTTAATTCTTATTTATTGGTTTAAAATATGTGTAATAGTCATGTGAACTAAATGTGCGTCTGACCGGTCCGGTATTTCCTTATTTCTTCGAAATTCTCGGTCTTTCGTGAAACCCCGACATAATTGGTTACAAAAAAAAATTAAATGACCAAGTAATCGACGAATTACTCATGGAATACATAATTTTAGCATGAAGCTTACTAAATTAAATTTTCAAATAAATTGGTTCGAGAATAAATTATTTTTTTTGTTAATTCTATGTTACTCTCGGATCAAAATTATCTTAGATTATTCATTTTTTTAGATTTTTTTTTTCTTCTTAATATAAAAGGATCAAGGATTTACATCATCCTCATTTTTTTTGGTGTTGTAGGTGGATGTTTTTTACCCATATTGTCCTTTATTTTTTATTATTTTTGATTTTTGCTTCCTTTTCTAAATCAAATAAATCAAATAAATCAAATGAATGATATGACAAAAATATTCCATTATTAAAAAATATATATATTAACATTTTCTCACCGAACAACCCTTTTTTATACATTCTTTCCTTTAATACCTTGTGACCATTCGATCGAAAGAGTTTTGATTCTTGAAATTACCTTTAACAAAAAATTCTTTGAATGAAAATAGTACTTCTAATTCCGGAAAAGATCAGTTTTGCTCCGATTTATTACCGTATTACCGTATAGAGACGAATTATTAATGTGTTAAGAATATTCGAGGATTGCCGGTCATTCCAACCTAATTTTTACATAAAAAGACGTCAAAAGTATTAAAAAGTATATTCGAAAAATAATTGAATGTAAGATGTCAAGTAATCAAAAAGCTTTTTGTAGAAAAGAACCTCTGTCGACTTCTATCATGTATAATAAAACAAATATCAATAATATTGAAAACATTGTAGAAAATATTATTGTTAATGATGAAAATGAGTGTATGTCAACTGATCATGGAAATATTTGTGTAAGCTTTCCTTCCTTCCTTCCTTCTTTCTTTGATTTGATATCATATTTAAAAAATTGTTGATATATATATATACAATATAATATTTAATAGTCACCTGTAGATGATTTAATCCAACAATTACGAACTGATTTAAAACAAACTAGAGAATTAATTGCAGCACTTGAATCTCGTCTAAAATTGTAATTATATTTTTTACTATATTTTATTGTATTAATTTACGTTTTTCTATATTCATGCCAATTCTTATTCTATTTTATTTTAAAATAGAACTGAGCAAACAAGTCAGTTGGTTCTTAGTGAATTAAAATACATAACAGAACATGAGTACGTTTTTCTTTTCTCTATCGCCAGTTACTTTTTAAACCTATAAAAATGTTTATATTAATTTTAATTACCTTTTTCTTTTAATCTCCTTTTTCTTTTAAAGATCTGAAAGCTGTACAACTGCGGTTGAAGAAATAAATCAGGATTATATTAATTCTGATATATTCAGAATGATACCTGATATAAAAATATTTTCTGATGAAAATTTTGATAATTATGATTTTGAAATTAATGATCATAATGATAAATTTTCTGAATTAATGTCGATTAATCAACAAACTGATGATATAATTGATTCAAATGATTCATATACAAGAATATGTACTTCTCTACAAACATTAATCAATGATGCTCAAAGTGCTTTACAAAAAAAAACAAATAATGATAATAATACTTATCGTTCTCATTCTTCTCAATGTTTGGGTCTACCTTCTCCAAGATCTCGTTCTTCAAGTAGAAGTTCTAATGTTAGTAATTGGTTAATGAATCATTATTCTCCTGCCACTTCTGCTTGGGAATGTGGTTGTGGTTATTGTATACTTTGTTTAGCTCCTGATAATATTTCTATATTAGAGAGTAGACCTAATTCAACTCGAACTACTCCAATAACTTCTCGACGTAATTCTATAGTTTCTCGTCAAAAATATTCTGGAAATTCGGGAAATCCTGGAATACCTGATATACCTGAAGAAAATTTTATCAATAGAAAGCAACGTCAATTATCAATACTTAAACGTCTCTACAGATATCAACTTGAACATAAAAGTGATTATAAAAAAAGTTGTGAAAATTTGGAATTAGAATTACAAAAATTTGTCTCTACTGCTTTAATGGATTCTTCTTCTTCTTCTTGTGATGATTATGAGAGTATTGATGATTTCACTTGTTATAAATGTAGATGTGATTCAAAAAATTACAATTTATTTGTAGAGACTCCTAAAAAAGAAAATACGAGATGGAGAAGACGAATATGGAATTATTTAAAAGAAAAGATCTTAGCTTCTCCTCTAATTTCTTCTAATAATGATAATAACAATGATGATTCTCATATTAACGATTATGATGATTTCACTAATAATAATTGGTCAAATTATTATAAATCTGATGATAAATACGATGATTACTCAAATTACTCAAATTCTTCTTCCGCTTATTCTCATTATGCAAGAAATGATGATGATTCTACTCCATTTCCTTCTTCTTTTGGTCAAAATATTTTTTGTAATGTTAACACTGTGAATTTTGTTAATAACACTACAAAAACGAACAATAATAGAACTTTTTATAGTAATACTTATAATAATGATAATAGTAATAATAATTTTAATACGACGAACTATTATAATGATACTACGAATAATTATTATTCTTCTATTATTGAGAAGGATAATAAAGAATTTAATGTATCAAAAAATTTTAATTCGAATCGAAATTTTAAATCAATTACAAAACGTTTTATGAATTTATTAGCTATAACTGGTATTTTGTTTGGAATTTTACAAAATAGTCTCCTTTCTTCCAGAAGATGTGGAAATCTTTATTATAAAAGAAATTTATTAGGAGGTCCGATATTATTAAAAATTCTCTCTCAAACTTTATACGCAAAAAGGAATAGTAGTGTAAGAAGTAAAAGGGATATGTTGGCTATGATTAAGGTTATAAAATATGTTACTGTATTGTTCGTTGGATGGTCTGTTGGACGAATGGGGTCATGATTTAAAGATCTAAAAAAAAAAAACATCTCTCAAAAAAAACTTTCGAAAAAAACTTTTTTTTTTTAAAAAAAGTATTAACGTTAGCACAAGTCTAAAAAAACATTCGTGCTTAGATTCAAGATTACTGGTAATCTTTTGTATCTAATATTCGTAATAATAATATCTTGGATCGCTGGTTATTACGAAAACAAAGTTTTCACTTGGACACATAACGATAAGGGTCAAGATATTATTGCTTTTTCCCGCGAACTCGATATAGTATCGATATATTTAAATTCGTGTAATTAAGTCGCGTTAATGACTTTCGTTGTAACATAAAAAAATCAAAAATTCGTTTAAATAAAAAAATTGGCAAAAATCTGAATATATAAAAATTTAATAATTATATGTTTAATAATTATGTTTAATAATTATGTTAGGAATAACGTTTTTTAAAGTTAAATGTAATAACGATAACGATAATGCATGATGTAACGGATATTTATTAACATTTGATTTTTGATCGAAAGTGCATGTTAGCTATTTATTTCTAAGTTCCAAGATGAAAATCTCTTGTAAGTTTATCGTGTTATTTTATGGTGAGTTGTTACTAATAATTCTAAATTCATATAGAGAATATTTAAATATATCGAACTATTAAAAAAATTCAGTTTATTAAATTCATCAACCACCACATAGAGATGTTGAGAAGGTACAATAGAGGTGGTTTGACGTTGATGCCAACCCGTCTTGAAGAGACAAGTTTCTTTTTTAAATAAATTTGCCGTCTTACACCCGTATTATACCCCAGCCATATTCTTAGTTCGCTAACAAAAATCTCTACACTCAGGTTTTTTTTTGACTGCTTAAATCAAGAAAGAAACGTAACTAGCTCCTCATATAGAACCAGTAAACCTTGAAACAGGGGAGGTGCAAAAAAGCTGGACCTAAGCTTATTATATTCAAGTTTAATTGAAGATTCAAAATAGCACGTGAAAGATAATCTGTACGTACGTACATACGGTGGGCGCGTTAGAGTGAGAACAAAAAATCGTTTTGATTATCGTGTTACACAGATCAATTTTTAACATGTAAACAATAACAATACTGATTTTTCGTGTCTGATTTCTCTTGTACCATACGTAGTATATTATTCTTTTCTTTATTCTAAGATCAAATTTAAGAATGTTAGTTTTTCAAATTGTCATATCGATCTAACGCTTAAAGAATTAACTATACATACAGTACAGTATTGACACTTAAATTCTGGAACCACACTGGACGTCTAGATTTTTTCGTAGTTCCGGTGAGAAATCCCATTGGAATGTTATACTGTAGAATGACATTTACCTAATTGGCTAACTTATCTTTATGTCAATTAAATTAAAGAAATATATCATATGAGTGCTGTCAATAGAAAACCTGTCATCGGGCTTTCAATGTTCAGTTGGCTTTCTGTATGCCATCTATGGGCAATCTATTCCGATGATAGATTGTCCATAGACGGCATGCAGAAAGCCAACTGAACATTGAAAGCCTGATGACAGGTTTTCTATTGACAGCACTCATATATATTACGTTTGTGAATTGAAATGATTTAAGCGATATTGGTCCTTATTATATCACCACCCGGGTGGTGATTTTTTGTTGACCCAATTTCCTATATTGATCTGATTATTTGATTTCTAATGCCAATATTTTACGATTATCTCATGCCACTACATTATTGGTTTGCAGAAATAGATGGTGTAGATTCATTATTATTGTGCTTTTGTGGCCATATGATTTCAGGGAAAATTTCCGAGATTTTGGATTGTCTGTTGTCTTATATTTTCGAACCGTTACGTTTATATTTCTTTGAAATCGATAAAATTCTTAAAAATCGATGGAATCTATGACATTATGACCTGCAGAGGTCACATCTTTTTGCAAAGCGCAATGACATTTGATTTAGTATCTTTTTGTAGGCACATTCATCGTGTAAAGAATTTTGATTGTGTAATATTAAATTTAGCTTCTCTTTTACCTCGATAAAATTTACTATTGCATGATGAGCAAGAAGAAATTTTAAAAGTTGTACCAAATTTAATCTTATAAGAATTATTACATGATTCTAGAAAGAATCATGAAATTTCAAAGTAAAGTATAAGGAATTTTAGTAGAAATATATTTTTTTCAGTTACAATAAGTTTTAAAAGTTGTACAAAAAAGTCACTTTGTGCATTCAAAGCATGTTTCGGGATAATTTTTGGCCATTAGGATATTTTTTTTAAAAAAATGTATACTAAATAAATAAATAATATTATTTGATATACATACGCACGTCCTCATATTGATAATTGCCTACGTATCACAGGTCGAATGATAGCAAATTGGGTACAAATCGGGTATCTGATTTTAATCTTCGATTATGTTGAACCTAGGTGCCCGCGCATTACCAATCGGGTAGTAATCGGTAAAAATCAGATTAAAATCAGATACCCAATTTGCTATCATTCGATCTGTGTATTTTAAGTATCCACGATTACTTAATTTAACTAGTTGCTTTTTTAAAAAGTTAAAGATTAGCTTTAGAATAGGGTTTATAATAAACAAGTAGGTTTTAGGGAGTTAAATAGAAACTTTAAATTTTATTTTAATTTGATTTTATTATAATTTGTAACATTTATTTAAATTAGTGCCTTTATAAACTTGCTATGTATAAACCTATTAATTCATGTTTAATATTTTGATCTATTAAAAAATCTTGAGGGTTTTAAAAAGCAGCAATATGAATATCTTTAATATAATACTATATACAGTCAGACCTCTCTAAGTGCACGTCCTTGGGACCACACTTTAGTAACGTACATATAAAGAATAATAAGAAAAAGTGCATTTACAGTATAGAGGTCGAGTATATATTTGGGCCAGCACTGAGAGGGTGTGCACTTACAGAGGGTGCACTTATAGAGGTCTGACTAATGTGGTTAGCCAGAATTGTTTTATGTTTGTATAAATATTTCGACATTTGATATTTAGTCTGCCGAAATGTCTAAATATTGCCGAAATCCTAAATTATGCCGAAATGTCTAAATAATGTCGAAATGCCTAAATTAAGAAATATTTATGAAAAAACATATGGGAATTAGGACTAAAACCGCCGGTCCTGTGGTCCTCCTTAGAAACCAAAAAGACTATTGGTCCAAATATAGTTGGCTTTAATTATTGTAACAAACATATGTAGCCTAATTTTTTGTGTATGTGAGGTTAATTTTTAGAGGCTTAGACAACAATAATAAATTTAAATATTTTAAATCAGAGTTTTTCTTATTTAATGTTATTTTATACTTTGTGAATTATTAATTTGTCTTTGCTTTCAAATTAAATATTAAATATTTTTGGATACAAATGACAAATTAGTACTAACATTAGCAATTAAGGTTATAAATAAATTGAATATTATATTATTACTACTGCGCTTTGAACTTTAAAGACAAAGTACAACTAAGTATAAATTTAATTTTAATTAGTAATAAGCTATTCAGTGCTTTTTATACATGATGTGCATAATGCACAGTATTATAACTGGTTTATAAAAAACATTTAATTGTTGGAATATTAAGGATTTTTGTTTTTTTGTTTTTTTTAATATTAAGGTGGTCACTTAGACCTCTGGCACTTTATTAGTTCAAATGGGTAGGCCATTGTTAAGAACACTAGCTTTACATGTTACATTAGTGTTACAAGAGTACAACTAGTCACACATACAACTTTTGGTTGTCTAATTTAAGTAGTCCACCCAAAGCATTAGTGCTATGCTAAGGGTTTTACACTAGATGCCATACTATAGCCTAACTAGAAAGCTATCTACTTTAAACTCTTTGGCTATGCTGGTACTACATATTTCCTCCTAATATACCTCTTTTACAAAGTAATTTACTACTTAAGACCCTAAGACTTTAGCCATCAACCTAATTTTAAAGGCAATTTATCTTTGTAGTATATCTAACAAAGTGATACATGTTTTACACATATATTCATCTGTATGTTTGGTAATTTCTTCCTAACTAGTGCTTGTTGTGTTGCTGTCATCAAGTTCATATTTCAAGCCAACTTTTGGAGTGCTGCTATAACCTTATCCATATCTCAAGTTACAACCTTTCTAATTAGTTGCCTATTACTTTACTTTTTGCTTTTGCAAGATTCACAACAACCTCGGTACCTGCACTACAACCAGTGTTGGGTACAGTTCTAAGTCTAGTTTTAAAAACTGGACTGGACTGGACTGTTCCACTGGAACTAGTTCCAGTTCCAATCTAGTCCAGTTTTTATATAATTTGTTTATAAAAATTTTTATTAGCCATTGTTTTATATAATTTGTATATACATATATATTGATTGCTGTAATAGAATTTTTTACAGTAACTCATAACAGAAATCATGATAATTTTAGTACAAAATTTAATTTGAACTTGACTATATACTATGTCTTACTAGAGAAGAAAATTCTTAAATTGCAACTCATAATGAAAATTCTCAATATATACTAATTTACTATATATTATAATGACTGGAGTAGTAAATAAGTTTTGTAACTGAGTTTTTTTACAGCAACTCATAACAGAAATTACAATACTAACTAACAACAAACAATTAAAATTTTATAAATATAACTTATTTTATTTATATACTATAAAATCTCAAAATAGTGAGCATGAATATTATTTTAAATCTTAGCCTAAATTAAGCTTAATTCAGGCTGAAATTTGTAATTTTACCTCTGTATATTATTTTGAGATTTTATGGTATATATTTATTATTTAGGTCTAGTTCCAGTAAATACTAGAATTGGACTAGACCAGTCCAGTCCAGTAGTGGTCTATTGGACTGGTCTAGTCCAGGGACCAATACTACATATGCCAGTAAGATGTGTACAACTGATAGTATAAAATAAGAACACACAATTTCTTTTTAAAGACGTTATATTGACTAACTTTTTGTGTTAACATTTTCATGACATTGAGAATACCCTTCATGTG